GATGCATTCTGACTACTGTCATTATCTAAACACCCTCAGGTATTTAAACCATCAAAATCTCTTCCTTTCTTTCCCTTAAATGTTCCTGAGATCAATCCCTGGTCATATATTATAGGAAGAAGTCTATTCTAAAATTGTTAGAGATTTCTTGGCTTGCAGCCACATTGGCCCTTGTCCTTCTCACTTGGAGCTGTTTGATCATATCTTACTCTTACATTTCTTTCACACATCATGTCAACAATTCTAAAACAAAGAAATGTAAAACACACTTATTAGTTTCTCCTTACCCTAACATATCACTCTCAAGTTTTCTTATCTCAAAAATTTTGAGAGGGAGTCTCACTCTGTCACCCAGGCTGGAGTGCAATGGCGTGCTGCAACCTCCACGTCCCGGATACAAGTGATTCTTCTGCCTCAGCCTCCTGAGTAGCTGGGACTACAGGTGTATGCCACACTGGGCTAATTTTTGTGTTTTTAGTAGAAATGGGGTTTCACTATGTTGGCCAGGCTGCTCTCGAACTCCTGACCTCAAGAGCCGCCTGCCACGGCCTCCCAAGTGCTGGGATTACAGGCATGAGCCACCCCCCCCCATCTTTTATCTCAAAAATCTTAAGACTTGATGGATGGGGGTGGGGGGGTAGGGGGAATTAGCTGGGTGTGGTGACACACACCTGTAATCCCAGCTACTCAGGAGGCCTTGAAGGAGAACTGCTTGAAGCCAGGAGGCGGAGATTGCAGTGAGCTGGGATAGTGCCACTGCACTCCAGCCTGAGTGACAGAGTGAGACTGTCTCCAAAAAATAAAAAATAAAAAAATAAAAAATTGTAAAAATTAAAAAATAATAAGACTTGATGGAAGTATTTAAGTATTTTGATATGCAACTGAAACCTACTTAATAATATCTTCTTAGTTTATTTCCATTCAGTTCTTCTCTATCACCCAAAGTAACGATCTTCAAGTTAGCCAGTTGAGAGGGGTCTCAACCCTGATGACTAATAATTTTCTCTTTATCCTCCAGGTTAAAAAAATATATAAAATGTATCCCATTGTCAAAACTGAATAGAGTAACTGGCCAAGGCCATCTGATACTTTTTTTTTTTTTTGAGACAGAGTCTCTGTCACGCAAGGTGGAGTGCAATGGCACATCTAGGCTCATGGCAACTTCCGCCTCCCAGATTCAGGCAATTCTCTTGCCTCAGCCTCCCAAGTAGCGGGAATTACAGGCGCCCACCACCACACCTGCTAATTTTTGTATTTTTAGTAGAGATGGGGTTTCGCCATATTGGCCAGGCTAGTCTCCAATTCCTGACCTCAGGTGATCCGCCTGCCTTGGCCTCCCAAAGTGCTGGGATTACAGGCATAAACCAGCACGCCTGGCCTTCTGAGACAGTCTTAAGCGATTCTCATGTTTCAGCCTCCTGAGTTGCTGGGACTACTGGCGTGTGCTACCACACCTGGCTAATTTTTTTTATTTTTTGTAAAGATGGGGTCCATGTTGTCCAGGCTGCTCTCAAACCCCTGGGCTCAAGCGATCCACCTGTCTTGACCTCCCAAAGCAGTGCTGGGATTATAGGCGTGATCCACCGTGCCTGGCCTATCTGACACATTTTTAAGCAAGTGTGTTAAAGGTGACAAGAATGAAGAGTTACAATTTTAATGCCAATCCTGAGCTTTAACTCCACAGACATAGTGAAAGATATTCATTTCTTGCACATGCAAAATTTTACTGAAGATTTCCCATATAATTTTCCACAGAAAGATCATTTCTGAAAGTACATGATTATGTTGGCTTTTTCATACAATGAAGTATACAATAGCAAACAATCCTGAAACAAAGATGATCTTTTCTATAGTCTTCCGGAAACTTTAAGTCTCTGTTACTGAAGTGACATTCCCTTCACCAGGAAGCTGTCTCCAACTACTGGAGCCCATATTAACCTCTTCCTTCATAACCACAGCAGTTCTGGCCAACATCCTACATTGGATAAATGATTATACAAGGTCTTATGTTGGTCTCCAGTTGTTTTCCATATAGGTTTTACCTTGTTAAACAACTGTAAGCTTCTCAAAAGAGGATAACCACACTTTTTATCTAACATTTATTACAACATAATGCTGCACAAAAGTACAGAAAATTTCATTTAAGAAGACCAGCATTCATGTATTTGATTTCTGGTCCTCCTTCTGAAGTGTTGTTTCTGCACTTAGGATAGCCCCATAAGTCCAGGTGTTTCAGCAGAAAGAATCAAGTTTTGGAAAACCTAAACAGAAACATCATCACATTCAAAAAATAAAACAGAGAAATTAGACAGTCATCTGAAAATTGCTTCCCTTCTCTAATAATCATAGCTACCATTAACTCCCCTCTCTTCTCCCCACCCCCAACACACTAAACTAACAGAAAAAAAATGCCTGGATAATTCATGCACAACATGCAATAATTCTTTGCACAAATTTTCAAGCTAACTGTACTCTTTGCCCATATTTTCCTATTTGAATACAAGAAGAAAAAATATAGGATGGAAGCTAGTCTTTTGAAGTCTACTACCTGCCAGGTACATTGCTAGCAATTTTACATGTCATAGCATTTATCATCCATATTTTGCCAATGAGACCATCGAGGCTGAGTTTAAATAGATTACCTAAGGCCAATGTCTTTGGCTCTCCCATCCACAACGACCCTCAGCTAGAGTTTGTTCCACAGTTCAGTCACTCATTGAGAAAATATTTACTGTGTGCATATTACAAGTTAGTCACCACTCTAGGCATTAAAGTTTTCAGAGTATGCCAGACAGAACAAGCCCTACTACTATCATAGAACTTACATGCTAGAGATGAAACAAAATAACCAAACAGGATAATTTCAGAGTTATGATAATGTTTGCCAACACAAGTTATGCACAATAATCATCAAATCTTTCAAAATATCTACAATGAGATTAAACAGTTACAAAAAACTAAAGAGGGTGGTAACATTCACTAACAATTGGTAACACTGTGGCCCTTTTGTCAATTCCTGAACCAAGCCATTCCATCTTTGAATAAATCAGAGGGGGAAGGAAGCAGAGCTCCAAACCCGCTTAGAATTTCTTCATAAAGTGACTCTGTGAGCTATCAGAATAGACTGTTGGAATGAATCCAGTGTTGGTTGTCAAACCCCAAACCCCATATTTATCCATTTATTCACTAAAATATTGCTGCATTATTTGAAGAGTTGATTTGTAAAAGTCAAGGGAGTGTTGTAATTTAACATAATGCCCCTGTGAGAAACAGAAGGGGGTTTCAACATCCACATCACAAGGCTCCCCAGGCTGCACACCGTCTCCACTGGGCAATGGCATCCAGCTCTCACGTGATGGCCAGTAAGAACTGTGGGACTGGGACTGGAGTGCTCAGTAGCTACGAAGAAGTGCCTGGGCCCAGTGTGACAGCTGCCAGGACCCTCCAGGAGCCAAAAAGAAGCCTTACATCTCTTTAAACTTGGAACACATGCATAATACTAACAGTTTTGTTTTAGCAATAAAGACTCCCTGCCACTTACTAACTTCCTTCCCTCACCTATTTATACAAGTTGACTAGCTGCTATTTCTATAGCTGCCACCTATGATATTTATAATGTGTTGTGTGATTTGGGTTGCCCATGTCACTAACACTTTGTGAGAATTTGTGTTTGTAAATTACTCTGGAACTCTTCTGGGAGTGAATATTCCACTGCACAAGGTGTAAGCCAGACTAGAGACCATCTGCTAAGAGCAGCACTTCATTCACCCAGCTACACCTTCCTGCCAAAGCACTCTTTGCAAATCTATTTTTGCTGGTAGAAGTTACTACGTGGGGAGTGGAGGCTGTTTTAAGTTATCAATGTGTACCTTCCATTTCCTCCTAGGACGGTCACATGCCAGCAGCTGAGTTTCTCAAAGAAGCCTCAGTCCCCCTACAGACTCTTTCTCACTCTTGCTTCGTAAAGGGGCAACTCCTCATCAGACTAGCCCCATCTACAACCTAAAAGTTTGTAGAAACTTTCAATGGGGTACCAACCCTCGCCCCAAAAGACCTGCCACCTTACTGTTTTACAAATGCCGCCTGCAAAATGTAAACAGCGAAACCCTAGAGAAGGGCGAGTCCATCTTCTGCTGGTGGAGAGAGATTCTAAATCTTTCCCATTTCCCGCCACCACCTACCGCCACACTGGAGTCCCAGAAGACTCGCCCGGGTCAGAAAGGGACCACTCCCGCCCAGAGTCCTAGGGGCGGGGGAAGGGGCCTCCCAGGAAGCACACACCTGAGATAGATCCTCACGCGCGAGGGGGCAGCGGGCAGGAGCACCCAGTTCCTCCAGCCAGGGTGGAGTCGGCCTCCCCCCGGAATCAGAGCCTTGGCCCGTGTGCTCGCAGCGAGGCGCGCGGGGCTGTCACCGGGAGCGGGCTGGGCGGGTGTAACCCGAGCGCCGGGCTGGCCGCGCCCCCGCCTTCCCGCTGCCCGACTTCCTCCTCCCCTTCCCGCGCCTGCTCCCTCCCGGAGGGCTGACCCCGGCGGCGAGGCCGCCACCCCCGGCCCGGATACCTCGGGCCCAGGCTCCTCCGGCCCAGCGGGGAAACGCGGAAGTGCGGGCGGGAACCGGGGCTAGGGTTGGCGGGGGTGTGGGAGGAAAAAGCGCTGCGAACCAGCGGGCGGCGAGCGACGAGGTCTCCGCGGCCCAATGAACGTGACGAGACGGGGACGCGGGTCCCGCCGCCGGGCGGGGTGGGGTCGCGCCGCGCTGCGCGCAGGCAAGGGCCCTCGCCCCCTGCTGCAGTTACAGCTCTGCGCCTCGCGGGTGCGGGACTCCAGACCTCCGCCCCGCCTCCCGGCTGGCGGACTGGAAAGCCTGAGCTAGGCCAGGCTGGGGAAGCCGGCGGCGGTGTCCGATGTCCTGTGCCCTCCCCCGTGTGGACCGCCCTGGCCGTCTGCCTGCGGGAGGGGAGGCACTCGCCCGCCGGCTTGCTGGCGGGACTGGCTTACCTGACGACTTCTTGTCGTCCGCCCCCGAATCTGGCTTCCCCTACTCAGCACCTACCGGCCGGCGGGGTTCCCCAGGCCTACAGACCGGTCCAGGATGCGGGCGACCCCGCCTTCAGAGCCCAGAGCCCTGGCCCAGCTCCCCCGGCGCTCTCTGGAGGCGCGCCAGGCCTCTTGACCCCCCGCCTGAATGTCAGCGCGGGGACCCGCAGGGAAGACCAAGCCCAAGCTCCAGGAGGTGGGGTGCTCGGCACAGGTTCCCCAGGCCCAGCCTCATACAGGTGGGGGGAGGCGGAGAACCCCTGCGGCTGAACAGCAGGCTTCCCACTTGCACCCCGCCCCCCAAAACGACCCTGCCCACTGAGCATGCCCAGCTCACTTGCTGGAACTACAAGGGCTAGGCAAGCCCAGGGGGACTTAAGGAAGGCACAGTTGGGGCTCAAATGGACCCCACTTCTTTAAGAGCTTTTCTCCGAAGACCTCTAGGTGTTGTACTAATAACATTTCTATCGTGGTATTGGAAAATATCCAGGAGATGGTCGGAAAGGCCTTCCAAAAAGAAGGAAGAAAATTAGTGTGAACCAAAATCTCAGTGGTATTTTTTTTAATAAAAGTATTAAGTCGCTTGTTTAATGTACTTAAATACCGCAGAATTCCTATAATTGACCCAGAAGAATACATACTACATTTATTAAATCCCAAACTCAGTAACCTCAGGGAACCATCCATAGTCCACAGTGGACCAATGATTCTCAGCCTTGGACACATTAAAATTGGGGTGGGGGAGGCGCAGGGGGCGGGGGGGGGGGGCCTGTGGAATGCCAGATTTCCATCCCCCAAGCCCAATGAATCCGTCTTGACGTGGGATCTGCAGATGCTTGCATTTTGAAACTGGCTCTGAAAGTGTAGTCACTGGAGCCCGCAGCATCAGCATCACCTGAGAACTTGGTAGAAACTGTACTCCAGTGACCTGATTCATAGACTCCAGGGCTGGGGCTGAGCTGGCCAGATTTAACAAGTCCTTCAGGTAATTCTGATGCACACTAAAGTTTGAGCACCATGGTTTGAAAGCTCCCTGGAGGTGAATCTAACGAGCAACCAGAGAAAAGAAATTGTAATTGAGAAAAGAAAAATAGCTCAGAGCATTTGAGCAATGTGAGGTATGTAAAATTTATCAGGCCCAGAGAGACTTGAGTATGGGACTTAAGTTGCTCCCCCACACTTATGCCCAGGGACAATTGTTTAAAGGTATTTTGTTCATGAGTGACTGTCCCACCTTTCTTCATGTCCCTGGAATTTGTGATACAAAGAGCAATCTATAGGCAACCAATAGTTTATGTCACTTTCATGTAAATTATTGGTAAACAACTTAGAAACCACCTCTTCTTTAAAACCTTGTGACTGGACAACATCATGAGATTTGAGTTTGCCTCAGCTCTTTTTTTTTTAGTTTGACAAATCAAACCGATGCTTATACCATTTTGCTTTCAAATCCCAAACATTTATCTAGAAATGCAACATGTTACCCAGAGACGGAATAATCTGGTTGAATTGGGTGCCAGTCCTGGATTTCTCTCCCACTGATTATCCCAGATCAGTTCAGTGATTGGCAAATGGGACCATAAGTTACTCACTTTTGTTCTCTAGTGCCTAGCATAGTGCCTGAATGTAACTGACGTTTAAGTGTTTCTTGATTTGAAATAAATGCTTAGGTGAGTGATCTGGTCCAAGCCGCTATGTCAGCTGATTATTTTCCCCACTAGTCCTAGTCACACTTCTGGCTAATGTAACCACCCGAGGGGTTCACCTTGCCTGCTGCCTAGACACAGCCAATTCATCAAGACAGGGGAATTGCAATAGAGAAAGAGTAATTCATGCAGAGACAGCTGTGCAGGAGACAGGAGTTTTATTATTACTCAAATCAGTCTCCCTGAGCATTCAGTGAGCAGAGTTGTTAAGGACAACTCGGTGGGTTGGGCCAGGAGTGCTGACTGGTCAGGGATGAAACCAGAGGGAGTTGGAGCTGTCTTCTTACACTAAGTCAATTCCTGTGTGGAGAGCCACAAGATCAGATGAGTCAGTTTATTGATCTAGATGGTACCAGCTGATCCATCAAATGCAGGGTCTGCAAAATATCTCAAGCACTGATCTTCGGTGCAGTTTAGGGAGGGTCAGAATGACTCCTAAACCATAATTTCTAATCTTTTGTGGCTGCTAGTCCTACAAAGGCAATCTAGTCCCCAGGCAAGAGGGAGGTCTGCTTTGGGAAAGGGCTGTTAATCTTGTTTAAACTATACACTGTAAACTAAGTTTCTCTCAAAGTTAGTTCAGCCTATGTCCAGGAATGAACAAGGATATCTCGTAGGTTAGAAGCAAGATGATATCGGTTAAGTTAGGTCTCTTTCACTCTCTCAGTCATAATTTTGCAAAGGTAGTTTCACTAACAAGCCAAGAACTGATATAAGACCATTTCTTATATCAATAATCCATGACCATCAACCCCTGGGTCTGATTTGGATATGGGAGAAGGTAGAGAATAGGAGGTAGGACATAGTTAGAGATAGAAAAAAGTCAGAAGCATTGCACATGATTCCTCTTGCCAAATTTGGTGCTCAAAGCAACCAAAGGACAGCAGAAGGTTGCTAGCGTCTGGTGGGATTCAGAAAGTCCAGACTGATTCACTGGGCTTGGGGATGGAAATCTGGCATTTCACCCCTCCCCACCCCCAATTCTAATGTGCCCAAGGGTGAGAATCATTGGTCCACGGTGGACTGTGAATGGTTCCCTGAAGTTACTGAGTTTGCGATTTAATAAATATATGGATTTCCTTGCCCACAGAAGGAAAAAGGTGTGTATGGGAATGGGGTCAAGGGGCACAGACAAGGAAGGAAGCTTCACTTCATCAGCACACAATTTACTCTGAAACTTCTTTTTCAAGACTGTGCACCTCTGCTCTATAGTTCCCACTCTGCCACTCCCCATACACACATCTAATCTTAACTATTGCCTTGAATAAAATAAATAGGAAACTGTTGTATAGTAGATAATTTACTCCAGTAAAACATTGCTGACTTGCAATTAGAGCATAAGTTATTTAGGGCATATTTTCAAAGTTGTTAATTCTTAAAAATGCACTTAAAAAAGAACAAAATCACTTTGCAGCAACATGGATGCAGCTGCAGCAACACGGATGCAGCTGCAGGCCGTTATCCTAAGCAAACTAATATAGGAACGGAGAACCAAGTATCACATGTTCTCACTTCTAAGTGGGAGCTAACTCTTGGTTTCACTCAGACATAAACATGGGAACAATAGGCACTGGGGAATCCAAAAGGAGGGAGGGGGTCAGGGGCTGGAAAACTTCCTATTGGGTACTATGTTCAGTATGTGGGTGATGGGATCAATAGAAGCCCAAACCGCAGCACCACACAATTTACCCTGGCAACAAACCTTCAAATGTAGCCCCTGAATCTAAAATAAAAATGGAAATTGAAATTTAAATGAACATTAATTTCAAAATGTAGAGGTTTATGATCATTCTTTATTTTTTTACAGACACTGGCTGGGTGTGTTGGCTCACACTTGTAATCTCAAGCACTTTGGGAGGCCAGGGCAGGAGGATCACCCGATATCAGGAGTTCAAGACCAGCCTGGCTAACATGGTGAAACCTTGTCTCTACTCAAAATTACAAAAATCAGCTGGGTCTGGTGGCACACACCTGTTGTCCCAGCTACTCAGGACGCTGAGGTGGGAGAATCACTTGAACCCGTGAGGCAGAGGTTGCAGTGAGCTGAGACTGCACCACTGTACTCCAGCCTAGGCGACAAGGTGAGACTCTATCTCAATAAAAAAAAAAAAAAAAAAAAAAGATTTCACTCACAGACACTTAAAAAATAAAACACTATGCCCTATTTTTTCCATCAATTTTTTCTAAAGAGAATAAAATATAAAAACAAATTTTACTTTAAAGCCTTTTTTGACAATTCTTTTTATTAGTGTCTAAGTAGCTTTCAGCCTCCCTATCTCTAGCCCTGTGTCTTGCTCTTAATACAGGAAGAATTCTACTGAAAGGGTTTGGTTGCTGATTAGAGTATCTAACAGGAACACAATTTCCCATATGCCTAAGCATTTTCTTTTCATTATTAAGATAATTTTTTGGGGGGGAGATAATCATTAATTTAGGAATTGCTCTCAGTAATTACTATGCTAGCTCCACAAACAATATGAAAGATAAAAACAAAAAGCAAAAGTCTTCCCTTCTCAACAAATACTTGCTACTGCTTCTTTTTGGCTTTCAGTATTAAAACCAAATGAAACAAATGAACAGGTTTACAACTAAAAGTGGGGGAAAGACTAAGTGGAGGCATGGGAAAGGAAACAATGACCATAACCAAATTTTAAAACATGAAGTAATTATTTCAGCAGAAGGCAATCCACTGAAGACCAAGACCTCAGGGAAATTCAGAGTCTTAAGTGTTTCTCCTCTTCCCCATAAGCATGACTCAGCATTTGGAATGAAACTCTTGTTTACTGTCTTTCAGATTTCTGGTGTCAAATAACTTTGGTGCCACCTAACTCCTTTCTCCTGTGCCTAAGAAAACTCAAGGATAGTCATGGGTTTTCATCCTCACATGGCTACAAAAATCTGAAAAACTTTCCCTTTTTCACCCATTCCTGTCTTACAAAAGCCTAAGTTTGTCCACCATTCATTTATTTTGTTTTTGTAGTGTTGTCAGATGAATTTAGGTTGTCACTTATATGCTAATGTAACAAAATGAGCAAAAAGTTTTTTGTTTTTGTTTTTTTATTTTTATTATTATTATTTTTATTGCATTTTAGGTTTTGGGGGCAAGAAGTTTTTTCCTTCCCAAACTTGGAGAGTAGGCTACCTGCTACTAAGACATCTTAAACTCAGCTTCCGGGATTGACCTTTTCCCACCAGGTGGGTACCTTCCAATGATGAGTCCACTATGTACTTTTAATGACCACCACATGCCTAGACCCAACTATTTTAGTCCTTGCCCATTTCTAGAGCAAGACAAAATTTTCCCCATAGCCAAATTAAGTGTTCATTGGTTACCAAAGCTCAAAATACAATGTATGGAATACTAAAATCAAACAGGACTATAAATGTTAACCCCAAACTTTCCTTTTATAAAAAAAAAAATGAAACCAGCCCGGGTGTGGTGGCTCACACCTGTAATCCCAGCACTTTGGGAGGCCGAGGCGGGCGTTTCACGAGGTCAGGAGTTTGACCAGCCTGGCCAATATAGTGAAACCCTGTCTTTACTAAAAATACAAAAAATTAGCCAGGCATGGTGGCGGGCACCTGTAATTCCAGTTACTC